ACAAGGTAAAAAAAGTCATGTTGAACGAGAATGTAACACATTGGTAAAATTAGTAAATGTTTTCTCTAAGCTTGAATATAGGAAGAAAGGAGAGGATGTCATTTTGTCGTGTGACTTTAGCCAGTGTCATTTGTGATTTCAGGTCATCTTTGCCGGACTTCTCGGAGTCTTCCTAGCACCTACCCTTGCTGACTATGTAAGTCTCACCTTTTAGAGTCTGTTAACAAAATACATTTGGGAAGAAATGTGGTATTTAGTCCCTCTCAATTCCTTATAAACTTCAGAATATCAACATCAGCGATGACAACAACGTCGCTGGCAGCGGGCAGCAGTCAGTGAGTGTCAACAATGAACACAACGTGGCCAACGTCGACAACAACAACGGGTGGGACTCCTGGAACGCCGTCTGGGATTATGAAAACGTAGGTGGTCGCCCTGTGATTTCTATCTCATTCTTTATAAATAGGATGCCTTTTTAACCGATAAAGTGCAAGTGAACCATAAAAATCTCTTTAAATAAATTCTAGCTACATATAAGCATATAGTTAGGTAAATAAAAGTGCCTGTTTGCTTGCCCGATTTCATTCCCTGGATATAACTACTGCTCGTAACTGTTGCATGATTAGTTAGAGTTCAAATCAATGAACAGTTATTAGGATCCACTATGTTCAAGGGATTATGGAGATTTAAGGCAAGTACAACCATCCTTTTGCCTTACCCACAGAGCCCCTCAATCATAATGAAAGGCCTATCCCATATCATTGCTTCCAAAGCATAGTCCATTCCACTCTGTCTTCAATTTCCTTCTAGAGAAATCGAGATTGACATTTCAACTGTAATCCAAAAGGACCAAAAGAAATTAAAATATTAATATTCATTGGTAAGGGAGAAACAAAAAGAAAAGAAACATGTGGCCCTGCTTAGGAGACCTGTCTCTGCAATTAGCAACTCCATACAGCAAACTTTAAAATATCAGACTCTTTATTGTTTCAGTCTTAATCAATTAGAAAACTAATTTCTATCTGACTTGCTTTCTAGAAATGCTGTGAGAATCAAAGAAACTAAAATGCGATATCTTTTTAAAGTCTCTTTCAGTAATATGGACATACGTAGAGAGGCTCTTGTCACACTAGAACCTGAAGATAAGGCGAATGAGTTAGTTAGTGAGTCACTGCCCTCACAGTACTTGCGATCTGTCCTTACAAATGTTAGCCATAGATTTGATCACCCGGCAGGACCAGATCCAAGGTGCTTACCCCAGCCCACCACAATCTTGGAGGTCCATTTCCTCTGCTGGTAGAACTGACTTCTGTTAAGAAAAGCTCCTTGGAGAACACACACCTCAGTATCTCCCATCTTACAGGGCTTTGCTGCAACCAGACTCTTTAAGAAGAAGTCATGCATCGTGCACAGAATGAACAAGGATGCCATGCCCTCCCTTGAAGCCCTTGATGCACTGGTCAAAGAAAAGAAGGTAAAAATAGAAGTTTCTTTATTTTGGGTGAGGGGAGAGGTTTTATGACCTCCAGTAAATAATGAGAAGATCACAGTCATTCCCTCTTGCCCGGAGGTTGTTGTAGCCTGCAGCACAAAGGGAGAAGAGGAACTGGTAACTGCCCGAAGGGAGGCAGTTTGTGCTGCGGCTCACACTTGCCTCTGCAGCAGCTGCCCAGAGCACCTGGTAGCCTTGGCTGTTGGAGAACACAGCTCTCCTCACAGCAGGGGGAGCCCTCAGCACTTCCCAGTGACGTTTTTCTGCAAGGGTTAGTTAGGGTTATTAAATATAGCAAACAAAAATAGAGGCACTTAGTTAAGTTTGAATTTTAGATTAAATAATGGATCTTTTCTGTATAAAAAGATTCCTATGCAATATTGGGGATATGTTAATATTGAAAAGTAATTTGTTGTTTACCTAAAATTTAAATGTGACTGGACCACCCTAGATGAGATGGGTGGGAAGAGGAGATCCATGGTTCTTTTCAATGTTTGCCTGAGTTCATATTCCTATAACTGATAAATGGGCGCCTTTCATTGACAAAGTAGAGAAAATACATAAACTGTATTCTCAGAAGATGATTATCATGTAACTCAACCTGAGGAATCTATGTTGACCAACTGAGGTCCAAGTTTAGAATAATTTAGCCTCATGCTTCTGCTTTCATGAGAAGCTAAGGTTTTAAACTGGGTAAATCCCTTAGGGCACTTAGAAATTCTGAGATATACAAGGATTTTCCTCATCTTTCTTATGGAAAATCTTTAGCCAAGCTGCACCTCCTGTTGGCCTTGCACTCCTCAAATGAACGAATCCCTGGGATTGGCATTCTTTCTCTCTCTTTCTCCCTATTAACCTGTCTTCTTCACATTTGGCTTCAGGATGAAAGACCAGAGGGACCCCCTCCCAAGGGCCTCATGTACTCAATCAACCCTAATGAAGTTGATGACCTGAACAAGTTTGGAAAAAACATTGCTAGCATGTGCCGGGGGGTCCCAACATACTTGGCTGAGGAGGTACAAGGTGAGTAGTCTTCCCACTGTGCACTCCAAGTCAGCACAGGTGCAAATGTCAGACACAGGCGTTTCCACAAAGGGCACCAATCATGTGGGGGCCGGGCACCAAACTGACACTCATACAGGGCTTGCTCTGTGCTAGCCTCTATCCTGTGTGCTTTAAGTGAATTACCTCTTTTGTTCTTCACAACAATCTTTCATTATTGATTGTTCCCATTTTATGGATGAGGAAACTGAGGCACAGAACAAGGTCACAAAACCCTTGCCTGGGTCAATCCAAGGCCTTTTGGTTCTGGATTCTGCACTCTTAAACATCGTAGAATAGTGTTTTTCAAGAGTGAATCCAGACTAAACTTAAAGTATATTCACAAGATGCATGAATGGGTAAATGAAAGAATACCAATACAATCTATTGACTTTCTGTAACTCAATCATTCAATTTCTAGGCATTCAGAGAACAGCTTACACAAAAACAAAGAGCCCACCTAGGAACTCGCGCTAACAGCAATTTTGCAGATCTCTGAATTGATTGACTTCATCTTGATAGATAGATAGATCTTGAAATTAATGCAAGTACTTGACACACTTCCTTGAAAAGAGTCCTGAAATAGTCATTGATACAGACTTCTTCTTTTCTATTTATCAGGAGCAAGCCTATTTTATTACTCAGGAAGGTGCTTCAATACTAATATACTCTGGATTGTGAACATTTCCTTCTGTGGAAAAACAGTGGATAACTAAAACTACTTTTAAAAGCCAGTATGGATTTAGTCATCGGAGTATGCTATGAATAAAAATATGGCTTCTAATGGTTTTTATCCTGTCATTATGAAAATTTTTTTCTGCTAGTTATGTTTGGTTTCTTTAAGTTTCAATAAACCCATTTAGCACTGAATTCAATTTACACTAACATTCCTTGTGATTTCTACGTGAATGCACAGGATCAAAAGTGTAATGTGGTGGTGGTGGCAGGTTGATGAAGTACATCAGACCCAACTGTGTGCCTATATTTAAGTCCTGTCTCCCATAAGGAAATCCTTCAGATGCTTCAGATGCTGCTAACCACAGCCCCGGGAATGGTTCCCAGACTGCTCTAAAGGCTGCTCTGTTGTTGGCGTGCACAGTAGCATTTTAACTCAGCAAGGAAAGAAATTCATTCAAATTAGCCTAAATCAGAGTGGGGGGGGAGATTGCAAAAACATGGGAGTATCTAAAACAATCAAAGGGCAAGAAAAATAGCTGCGTATCAAAGAGATTGGAACCAGGCACCCTAATGATGCCAAAATCCTCCCTGAGATCACGTGTCATCTCTTCTTGCTTCCTCTCTAATTCGACTTTCATCTTCTTTCCACTTTACAGAATTTTTTTCTGTAATGTTGACATGTCTTTCTGGCTCAAGTGGTTATAGCTAATGTTGACTTCTCAATTTCAATTTTCCTTGAACCTCTTGGGTTCAAGAGTCCATGACCTCCATTCATTGATGGCCAGGAGGGTGAAGACACGTGGTGCTATAAGGCATGGGGGTCTCCACTGAGGACGGAGATCTCAGAGCAAATAGAGTCCAAACATTGTGTGTAACAATTTTTTTAAGTTGCTCCCATACATCTTTTTAAAAAATTGTTAACTGCCATAAGAAGATATCTAATCCATTCCCATATCTTCAGGTGAGATATTCCTAAATAATCCTAACAAATAAAACTAACATACTAACATTGACACGCGTACAAAATAAAGACATTGATTTCCACCATTTAGAAAAAAATGCCAATATTTACCAGTTCTCATTAGCAGAAAATTATTATTACTTTCTTCATCCTGATGCAATTTCATTGCTAGTCACATGAAGTACACCACCAGGTTAGCAGAACTTCCAAAAAACACAGACGTCCTGAAAGGTAGAAACCTGTCAAAGACCCACCAAAGGTTACAGGCTTGGTGTACTGTGAGTAAGAAAAAAAGAAAACTGTGACTCAGAAACTGCACACTATGTTAGGTACCTTGTTGGGAACTGGTAAATCTCATGTTTCTTAGAAGAATTGTCTATCCATTATTTCAGGATAAAAACAATTATCTTCACTGGGAAGATATAAAAATCCTAGATTATATACACCTATCAAAATACATAAAAGAAGCCTGGATGTGGTGGCTCACGACTATAAACCTAGCACTCTGGGAGGCTGAGATGAGTAGATCACTTGAGCTCACAAGTTTTAAAACACCCTGAGCAAGAGTGAGACCCCATCTCTACCAAAATTAGAAAAACTAATCAAGCATTATGGCGGGCGCCTGCAGTCCCAACCACTTGAGAGGCTGAGTCAAGAGGATAGGTTCAGCCCAAGAGATGAAGGTTGCTGTGAGCTATGATGATGCCACAGTACCAGGGCAACAGAATGAGACTCTGTCTCAAAAAAGTAAACAAATAAATAAATAAGCAAAGACTAAGTTCTTTTAAAAATACATAAAAGAAAAATTGTAAGACGTGAAAGGATAACACAACAATTTCACTAACCCAACAGAAGATTTTCACACATATCTTTCAATAACATAGATGAAGCAGTTAAGGATATAAAAAAAATTATACATAATTCACAAGCTTATATTAATGAGCATAGAGAGAGCACTTCAAAATACATATTCCTCTTAAGCATGCATGGGACATTTATAAATACTGGTTACCTGCTGAGGCAAAAGCTAAATCTGAAAAAATGTCAAAGGATTGGCATTATAAAAAACACATTTTTTGACCTCAATTTAAGAAATATACAACAAATATTCCCCTCTGAATAAAACAAAATAATTCCACTTGTTTTTGAAATTGGATAGCATACTTCTAAATAACACAAGAACTAGAGAAAAAAATAATGATTTTTAGTACCCACTTGGAACTGTGTAATGAGGAAAACACTACATATAATTCTGCATAGTACTGTAAGTAGCAGCTAAGCAATGTGTAGTGGACAAGTGATAGCCGTACATCTTCACCTTATAAAAGAAGAAAGGCTGAAGATTGAGGTAGGCCCTCAATTTTTAGGATGAGGGAAAAGCATAACATATCCAAAATACATAGAGGAAAAGAAATGATACTAACAGCATCATAAATTAATAAAATGGAAAAGAAATGTACAAAAGTAAGTTTCAACAAATTCAAAATTTGGTTCTTTGGGAAGGTATAAAATTGCCTACTGTAGGTAAAATTGACCAGAAATACAAATAGATAAATCATAAAATAAGCAATGCTAGGAATAAAAAGGGAAACTAAGCTATAAACGCCACAGATATTAAGATGTTAATAAAATGGTACTATGAACCACTTTATAGCAATAAATTTGAAAGCTTAGGGCAATTGAATTCCTAGAAAAATAACTTACTAAAGCTGATTCCAGAAGAAATAAAAAGGCTGAATGATTGTAGGACCAGTAAAGCAATAGGTTCAGAAGATTTAAAATGTCACACAAAGAACGTCAGAACCTTGTAAAGCCAAGGTGTGTATGAATTGATACAACTGCTTTGGGAAACAATTCAGCATTGTCTAATAGAGTTGAAGCTGTGAATATCTTATGGCCCAACAGCTGCAGTTATGTATGTAACTCAGAGAAACTCTAGCACCTGGGCATCCAGAAACATGTACAATGTTCATAGCAACAGTGTTTGAAACAGCAAAAAAGGCTCGGCACCTGTGACTCAAGTGGCAAAGGCGCCAGCCACATACACCTGAGCTGGTGGGTTCAAATCCAGCCCAGGCCTGCCAAACAACACTGACGGCCACAACCAAAAAATAGCCAGGCATTGTGGTGGGCGCCTGTAGTCCCAGCTACCTGGGAGGCTGAGGCAGGAGAATCATTTGAGCCCAAGAGTTTGAGATTGCTGTGAGCTGTGATGCAACAGCACTCTACCCAGGGTGACAGCTTGAGGCTCCATCTCCTCAAAAAAAAAGAAGAAGAAAGAAAAGAAACAGCAAAAAAACAGAAACAATTCAAAACTTTCCCAACAGTATGATAGATACATAAGTCATGTCTATTAGCAGGAACACTACATACCAAAGAAAGAAAACCAAATTAATCACGCACACACAGAAACATGGATGACTCTCTGGAAAATAATTTGAGGGCCCAAAAAAGCAAATTATAGAAGAAAACATACTGTATTTATATAAAGTCCAAACTCATATGAAACCAAATGAGCCATATGTTTTAGAAAAACATGCATGCGGTGTAAATCTATGACTAAAAGCAAGGCAATGGTAACATTGGGTGTATAACTAAATTGGGTGTAACTGTTCACCTCTGAGAGGGGGAGGATTTCTGGAGGAGCACAGGGAAGACTTCCAAGGTGGCAATGATGTGCTCGGGCTCTCAGACCAGATGGCAGGGAGGGGTATTCGTGGGTATGTGTTAGAATATTATTATCATATTGCACTTTACATGTTTAAAAATAATCAGTGTACTTCATACTTCGTTGCAATTTTAGATAGTTAAAAGCACAGTAAGTGCGATCATGTTATGAAAGCGAGAAGAAAGGAAACCTGTGTGGAGGGAATGAAGCTGCTCTTTCATTGCAACATGAGCCAGAGGCCCCTCTCATCTCTGGCTCCACTCAATGTTGGGTGGTTCCAAACATTCAGCCTTTGACCCATATCCCCAGAAGAGTGGTGTAAGTGAAAATGAGTTCATTCAGCACCAGGATGCAAGAGGTCTGCAGAGAGAAGCCACTGTTCCTGGGCTGTCTGTGCCAAGCCCTGCTCTCTCCGCAGAATTCTAAATCACCGCCTGGAAGCCTGCTGTGCACAGCCTCCCATATGGAGTTTTGTTTGGCTTTGGGGATAACCTGGCTGGCTAATATGAGGCTGAGGCCATGGCTCACCTTATGCACTTAGCCCTTCGTGGCCGGGGAGAGAGGCAGAAAGCACACAGAGCTAGCTGGCTTGCTTGCAGGGTCATCCGAAGTTTTGCTGACTTCATGACCCCAAGAGACACCAGAGAGGAGCAGATGATATCCTCTGACAGGCCTAACTCTTTAGAGGGAAATGTTAACAAAAATATTTTAGATAAGCCCTTGCCCATTATTACAGTATCTTTCTGGTTTCTTCTCAGTTGCGCTTCTGGCATAACCAAGTAGTTTAAATCAAACCTCCTGCAATTGGATCATTCCAGAACATTCACCTGAGGAGTTTTAATCTATAGTCAATTTTTCTAAAAATCCTTTTAAATTGATGGGTACCTATAACTGTTAACTGAGTTTTACATTTCCCAAATATTCATCAGTTAGAAATAACCCATCAAGAATTTCAAGAGTACAACCCACCTAAAGCATAAGAGAAAGGACGCCAGACCTTACCCATAAACACTTCCTACTCAGAGCTCAGAGGGAGGGGGGCTTGGGGATTCTCTAACTTGCAGTTGGTTTCTGTAGACACAAGAATGTCAACAAATTTGATCATGTACTTCCTTTCTACAATACGTACTGCCTGCTCTTTCTTCCTCTCACTTTCCTTTTGCTCTAACTATATCAGCTAAAACATTAAGAATAATGAGAACATAAAGGTCAGAGCAGATGTCCGTAAGTGACATCTCTTTTTTTATCATTAAACAGAATTTCACTAATCAGTTTGTTATAGACCCACTGTAATATTTATTTTGTCTCACTTACCTAATAGTTATTAGTGTATTTGAACTTGGAATAAGAGAAAGAAATTAATGAGATAAACTTTTAAATGTTTACACTTGGAATGAACTATTTTAACC